GATCTCAGCTCACTGCAAACTCTGCCTTCCTGGTTCAAGCGATTCTCCAGCCTCAGCCTCCCAAGTAGCTGGGATTACAGGCATGCACTACCATGCTCAGCTAATTTTTGTATTTTAGTAGAGACGTGGTTTCACCATGTTGGCCAGGCTGGTCTCGAACTCCTGACCTCAAGTGATCTGCTGGTTTCAGCCTTCCAAAGTGCTGGGATTATAGGCATTGGCCACTGCTCCTGGCCTGTGTGATTTTTTTAGAGGTGAAAATAAAACTACATAATTATAGCATTCTTGGGATAGAAAGCATGCTCATAAAAGTACTGAGTTTCTATGTCTTTGAGGAAGAACAAAACATAGGATGATTTTTGGATTTGAAGGAATATGGATAATTAAGTATATTTGTTAAAATTTCAAAGGAAGCCCTAAATAATAAAAAAAAAATACGTATTTCAGAAAGATAAGGGAAAAAGGAGACTATGCAATCTTTATCAGTACAAAGAAGGCAAAAAATATAGGAATGAATGCTAAGAAAGAGAGCAATAAGTGTACAATAAAATAAGACTAGAAAAAAGTCTAAATTGTATTAGTAATCACAATATAGGAAACGATGACATTCACATATTAAAAGGGTTTTTCAGACTGTAGAATAAATAAAACTTAGTAAAATACTATAAGCTAGAGAAACATCTAAGGTAATGCCACACAGAAAAGTTAAAAATAAAATGAACAAAGAAGTCTACTACCCAGATAGTCCTAAAAAGGCAAACCAAAGGTGAAAAGAAATGAACATAAATAGAGGCACAGTGGTAACATTACATAAGAATGAAAGACAGTTCTCCAGTACGATACACTGAAGATGAATTTGCATATTCCAAAGGGCGTTGTTGTGAATGTCATCAAACAAAAACTCAAAAACAAGACATAGAAACAGACAAAAGTACAGTCCTAAGAAAGGTTTTTAACATGCCTCTAGTAGAATTAGTTAGATCTGGTAGATAAAAAATTAGGAATAACATAGAATATTTGAAAAGTAAAATTAACAAGCTTGATCTAAGGGAAATATCCATTTTAAATGCAATCTGATGATATAAAATATACATTTATTTCAAACATTGGAATGTTTATAGATGATGAAAGAGAAAGAGAGGGAAAAGAGAGGAAAAGGTGAAGAAAGAGCGACAGAAAGGAGAACCATCTTTACTCAAGAAACTGAAAAATATTCTCGACAACTTGTGGATTAAAGAGAAAATCACAATGGAAATTAAGAAATATTAAGAACTGATCAAAATAGTTGTGAGATGCAAATAAAAAGTACTTAGAGGTAAATATTTATTGCTGAATGCTATGCTTTAAAAAATAGCAAGAGATTTAATAGAAATGGGTGGCTTTCACCTCAAGAAGTTACATAAATAACAACAGAATAATTCTGAAGGAAGTGAAAATTTAAAAAAAAACTAATAAAGGTAGAAATCAATGAAATGAAAAACAACTAAGCAATACAGAAAATTCACAAAAATAGCCAAGACAGTGTTTAAAAATAGCAAGGCTGGAGGAAGGTTTGCTCTGCCGGATATTAAAACTTACTTATAAAGACAGTGAAATTAAGACTGTGAGGCATTTGTCATTTGGATGGACAAATAGAATGATAGAATAGACAATAAATAGACTAACACATACATGGAAACTATATGACATTATAAATTAGTGAAAAAACCTGAATTATTCAATAATGGATGCTGGGACAACTGGATACTCAAATGAAGAAAAAAATTAGATTGCAACCTAATACTATATTAAAACATAGCAGTAAAATTAAATGTAAGATGCAAGATTTTAAGAAAATGTCGGAAAATACATTAAAGACCTTGGAAGCATTTCTTAAGCAAGACTAAAAAGCACAAATTAGAGAAGGAAATATTGCTCATTTCAACAACATCAAAATGTAAATAAAACTTCTGTATAGCAAAGGACACCATAAACAAAGCTAAATGATGAGCTACATAGACTAGGAGATTATTAGAGAATTCTTATTCAGAATATGAAAAGAACTCCTACATAGCAATAAAAAATGGACAAGAATTAGAAAAAGGGGAAAGGATATGAACTAGCAAATAGTTGACTCTGCATACTCCTGTGGCCCAAGCAAGCCATACACTACAGGACACTTTTGAACATGTACAAAAACATCTGTGTCAGCACCGTTTGTATTAGCAAAGCAATGGCCCATATAGAAGAGTGAATAAATGGGCGTTTGGGTTGGTTCCGAGTCTTTGCTATTGTGAAAGACTGGATAAAGAAAATGTGGTACGTATATACAATGGAATACTATGCAGCCATACAAAAGGATGAGTTCATGTCCTTTGTAGGGACATGGATGAAGCTGGAAACCATCATTCTCAGCAAACTAACACAAGAACAGAAAACCAAACACCGCAGGTTCTCACTCATAAGTGGGAGTTGAACAATGAGAACACATGGACACAGGGAGGGGAACATTACACACCAGAGCCTGTCGGGGACTGGGGGACAAGGGGAGGGACAGCATTAGGAGAAATACCTAATGTAGATGACGGGTTGATGGGTGCAACAAACCATCATGGCACGTGTACACCTGTGTAACAAACCTGCATGTTCTGCACATGTATCCCAGAATTTAAAGTATAATAATAATTTTTTCAAAAGAGTGGACAAATGAACATGAATACCTTCATTCACTGAAGTATTACTTTAAACCTTTTGGTGCTTTACCAACTAAAGAATATTGGACTGAATGCCAGAAGGCCTGAGGGAGAGTTATCTTTACCAGAAACTATATACTAACTAGTATGAGCTATGATCCTAGGCAAATTCCTTAACCTGTTTGGCTCTTAGTTTCCTTGTAAGAGGTTTAGATGGGACTTGAAACAGCGTTCAATCTGAATAACCCACGGAAGTTTAGAAGTCCACATGCCCACACCCCTTCTCAGACCCACTGCGTCAGGGTATCCAAAGGTGGGCACGGTCAGCACCAGGCCCTTCCAGGTCAGCAATTTCACCCCCTCAGCGGGGAGCTGGGAGTGAAGACAGGAATTGCATTCATAACAACGTTTACAAGCACCACTTCTCATTTTAGTTTTCACTTCTGAGTTGTGGGTAGGCCTGACAATTTCCAAGTCTATCTTTCAGTCAGGGAGTATTCTGGAAGCAGAAGCCTCCTGGCTAATGCTCCTGTCTCAGCAAGGCAAGGAGTTACAGTGACCTAGCAACTAATCAGAGAAGCTGTATCATTTTCAGAGTTAAGAGTGTGGACTCTGGAGTTAAACTGGGCTCAGATCCCAATCCCTGCCTTTCAAAGTTGTGTGATCCCAGAGAGTTACTTAACTTCCCTGCACCTTGGTTTTCCTATCTGTAAAATGGAACAGGATAGAAGGTAACTTCTAGGGTTGATATGAGAATCAGATGAATCAATATATCCAAAGTGTTTGGAAAGTGTTGAAACATATTGAGTGCTCTACAAATGCTAGCAATGATCATTATTAGACTATAGACCCAGAACTCCTGAGGACAGGAAGGGGACATGGTAGAGGATAGCATGTAATACTTTCATTAGCCTAATGTCTATGGGCATTGCTGGTTTGCTTTTCTGAGTATCTGAAGCCAGATATGAGAGAAAATTTGCAGGTGCATTACAAAACTGTAATCCTTTCTGCAACTGCTATCTCAGAAAGATTTAATAAAACTGTGTGTTTTACATCCATCCCCACTGAACAGCCAGGGTAGAGGGATTCCAGTGAACTAGGTGGCCCTTAACTTGCCCAGATGTCTACTTTTTGAGAGCCCCAGTTTTGTTTAAAGCTGCTAGTTAGGAAGTTGTTTCAGCTGCAGAACAAGGCCATTATTTATGTTATCTCTTTGCTTACGGTGGTGATTCTCAATATTTTACATTTTGCATTTTACCGGATTTTTTGTTTTTGTTTTGAGATGGAATCTTGCTCTGTCACCCAGGCTGGAGTGCAGTGGCATGATCTTGGCTCACTGCAACCTCTGCCTCCCAGGTTCAAGCAATTCTCCTGCCTCTGCCTCCCGAGTAGCTGGGACTACAGGCAGGCACCATCACGCCTGGCTAATTTTTTTGTATTTTTAGTAGAGACGGGGTTTCACCATGTGGTCCAGGCTGGTCTCAAACTTCTGACCTCAGGTGATCTGCCCAGCTTGGTCTCCCAAATTGCGGGGATTACAGGCATGAGCCACTGCGCCCAGTCACAATTTACTGTTTTTTTTTGTTGTTGTTGTTTTTTGTTTTGTTTTTAAATTTCCCTTCCTGGGTTCATGATTATACCCTGACATGAACTAGCCATTTCTAGTTGTCATGTTAAAAAAATTACACAAATTAAACTTTATTTTCTCCTGTTTTTTTCAATCTGAGAATTTCTCAACATTCTGCAAAATAACTAGACCTCTCTAACGTACAGTTTTGGGCGAAGCTTAATGTAAAAATTTGGTTAACCCTGATAATGGGGGAGAACGCCTTCTGGGTCTTGTTCCTCATGAATTTCTGGAAATTGACACCAAATCTAAAGGGAAGAATGAAGAAAGTCCTAGATCCTAGACTGTTTGTTCTCCAAGCAGACCTCCCCAGCCACTGTCTTGGCACCCAGTCTCATATCCGTTCCCTCTGTGGAAGAATTCAGCCAGCAGAACAGTGGTGAAAAGACATCGAGTTGGAGCCCAACTCAGACCTTAAGGAAGCACCCTTCCTTTAGGAGGAGATGTTAGGAATTTGTCCTTATAGACCTACAAAATGTATGCATAGAACAAGCATCATGCAATATTTTTAAAGGGTGGAAATTAAAATCTCAAGTGCAGCACAGTACAGATAGCAGGGAATATTTACAGAGTGACCAAGTGGTGAATTTTCATGACTGACTAATGAACTTCATTGATATCAGGTATGTGATTGGATCTCAATTCTGATAAAGGAGTTTGCTGGGGTGTGTCAGAGATGTAGACATGGTCTTTTCCAAAGTGATCATTTGAAAAAGAGATATCCACATCTTCAAGCCCATATAAAGGATAGAACCTGCATGGGACAGCTTTACTTACTCCAGCACCTTCCTCCCCCAGGCAAAATGAAAATCCTTGTGAGTATTTGTTTCTGCTTCTTGACACTGTTGTAGTGCCTGCTTGCAGACAATGCTCATATCTAATACGCCAGGGATTTTGGGAGTCTTAGACAGATACTGTGCATGCTTCTAAGCTTCTGTGATTGAATTAATGATACCTTTGGCAGAAATAGTGTTGAATAAGTCTGACTTTTTTTGTCCTTTGCCTGTTTTGAGATGTTTACTTAAAAGAAAATACAAAAATACAAAGAAATCTCTAGATAATTTTGATTTGGAGGATGTTTGATAATAATCCTTTATTATGAGCTTCATAGGGAATTTGGGCTATTTAAAACAACTACATTTGCTATCTAAGAGAAAAGTTGTAATTTAAAAATAATATCAGTAGTAGTAATAATAGTACCTCTTATTTCTCAAATGCATACTAAGCCTTAGACTAAGCATTTCATGTGAATAATTTCATCTATTCGTTGCAACAACCCTATGAGCTGAGTAGTATTCTCCCCATTTTACAGAGAAGGAGACTGAGAGTCAGAGGACTGTGATTTTCCCAAGCCCATAAATGTGGGATTTAGAATGTAATTTATCCATCTTAATCCCCACTTGCAGGCACTATCATGGCAAACTTAAGCAGCCAGAGTGTCTTCAATGGCCTCCTGTTATGACTAAATTCTCCCTTGGGACAAAACGTTCCTTCTATGGCCACTCCACTCCTCCATCTGATCCCAGCCTCCATAGTTCCACATTGCAGTGCCCCATGGACAGTGGGCTATGTTCCGACCTAGAATGGATCTCACTCCCCCAGTCTCTGTCCTTTATTCTCATTCAGCTGCTAAGGGGGAAAGCAAAATGTTAAGTACTTCTTTCTAAAGTGTTAAAGATTGTCAGCTTAAAGAGCTCCCTCTCTCAGGGCTGTCTTGATTTTCCAAACTGAGACCTAACCCTGAAGCACAAAATTATTATATAACCATGGTGTATTAACCACAGTGTTGGATGGGAGATCATTTGGGGGCAGAGGACACTCCCCAAGCTCTCTCTAATCATACCATTAAAGTGGTTTAGCCCTTCAACTACTTGTTCAAATCACTATTTTAGACTTATTAAATAGAATATACAGGAGTATCATATGTTGCTAGAGCTGGTCTGTGGTAAGAGAAGATGTATCCCTATGGAAGGTTGAATATCTGCACACAGGTCTCTGTTAGATGCTCTACTCCCAGTCCCCAGAAGAGAAATATTAAGGGTGGGATGGAAAGGGAAGTAGGAAAGTCCCACTGACAGTTCTTAAAAATATCCCCCTTCCCCAAGACTCCTTTCATCAGTAGTTTTCAATGACAGCACAGTCAACTCTGTACTGATGTAGTTTTCAGTGATAGTACAGTTCACTGATGTTCAGAAGAGAGGGCACAAAACCTGGGTTAGCATGTTGGAGCAGACTCCTATAGAACTACAGCAAAATATCAGAACTGCCTCAATGTCGGCTCACGACCTGTGGGCCCAGCACTTGTATGATAGTATCACTAAGGCGTGGGTTGTAGGAGAATATGAGGGTTTTCCTTGATGTCAGCCTCAAAAGTGAATTGTGCTCTCAAGCATTCTATCTTCATAGTTTACCTTAGGAACCTGTTGTGTCTTTATCACCCATGATTCATTTTAAATCTGTATTACCCTCTCAGTCTTAAGGGATTAAAGTTTTTGTTTTTGGTTTTTTGTTTTGTTTTGTTTTGTTTTTTTACAAGAGGACACAATTTGACCACTGTTATCCAAAGCCAGTGTGACTCATACCAGAGTATTTCCATAGTAAAATGAGTCCTTCACTGCTCACCTGCCCCAAGTTTCTCCTATTATCTAGATGGTGATAATGCTAGAAAGAGTTTGGAATTAGGTGGCAAATGTAGAACCATGTGCCTGGCAAATAGAATGAACTCAATAAATGCCTGTCAAATGAGTGAATGTGTGTGCTTCACACTTTGGAAAGGGAGTGCTATCACTGTCTCTAGGTGTACATTTTCTGAGATATCTGTGCCTTTCCTGTCCAGTGTTCTCTCCTGTCCCCACCCTCGATGACTACCCTATAGAGAATGGATGTGGTGGGTCTGTTTTTCAGGTGGCATTTCTGGTGGTGCTGACCATCTTTGGGATGCAATCTCATGGATATGAGGTGAGTTGGTTCCCTATGGGCTTTATCTCTTAGAGATGTTGAGAGAGGAAAAGGAAGGTACAAGAGAGCCTGAAAGACGGCAGAGAGGCCATATACCTTATTTGGGATGGAATCTCAGAAATAACCAATAATGGAAACAATGAGCTTGGCTATTCCTTTCCAACCACAATACCTTCGCAAATGTAAGCCATTGCTTTAAAATTTAGTCAGTCTCATTTCTCCTGTGATATCACTGCTACTCCCATATATAATATAGTAAACTCCAAGGAAAAGCTTTGCATTCTTATGGCATCACAAGCTTTTGGATTGGGACCCCAGTGGAGAGTTTTAGTTTTTAATCCCTTGTTCATAGCAGGCAGAGGCTTACTTTTGTTGAAAGAGTTGCCTTTCAAATGTATAAGATTTATGGAAAAACATTTTGTCTTTCTTTTCAATCTAGGTTTTTAACATCATCAGCCCAAGCAGCAATGGTGACAATGTTCAGGAGACAGTGACAATTGACAATGAAAAAAATACCGCCATTGTCAACATCCATGCAGGATCATGCTCTTCTACCACAATTTTTGACTATAAACATGTAAGCAGCAAATGAATTTTCATATTCTTCAGGACGAGTTTTCTAAAGAGCAGAGAGATCTATCTATCTATCTATCTATCTATCTATCTATCTATCTATCTATCTATCAATCATCTATCTATCTGGCATCATACATACTTGAATTCTTAGATTTAACCTTGTAATTCTTTAAGAATTCCTCACTTTCACTTTTCTCTTTAAATAATCAAGCAATTGGTTAAAAAACAAAACCATTTTGAAGAAAAACATATGACAGGAAACATAGGCATTTGCTTGACCTTTTCAGGTAGAAATTGAAAGAGTGATGCTATTATCCCACTACAGGCTCAGAAAGTGCAGAGAAGAGTAACCAAAGTTCAAAGCAAAGCCCGGCATGCAGACACTCAAACACATTTGTTGAGTGAATAAATGAATGAATAGTGCTTCTAACACAGAACATCATGCAGAAAAAGAACACTTGGTCAGGCACAGTGGCTCATGCCTGTAATCACAGCACTTTGGGAGTCTGAGGCAGGAGAATCTCTTGAGCCCAGGAGTTGGAGACTGGCCTGGGCAATATGGCGAGATCTCATCTCTACCAAAAATACAAAAATTAGCTGGGTGTGATAGTGCATGCCTGTGGTCCCACCTACTCGGGAGGCTGAGGTGGGAAGATTGCTGGAGCCCAGGAAGTTAAGACTGCAGTGAGCTGAGATTGCACCACTGCACTCCAGCCTGGGTGACAGAACGAGATCCTGTCTCAAAAATAAATAAATAAATAAATAAATAAATAAATAAATAAAAAGATAGTAAAAAGAACCATCAAAAAGCAATCACAACATAGCAGAAATCCAGAGCAACTGTACACATTTAATTATATACATAGGCTAGGCAATAAATCGTACTTTTTCTGTAAGAAAGAAAGTTTGCTAACTAAAAGCACTAAACTATTTTCAAGTGTTAGATACTGGCATTAACAATAAGTCACAGAAACCTGCTCTGAAAACTTACCCTTCGTCATTTATTTATTCATTTGTTTTCCATTTGTTCCACCAACCAATTGTGAACCTGCTTCTACCCAGGTTCCGAGATACTCACTATGGATATAAGTAGGTTCCAGCTCATCTCACTAGACTTTTGAACACACTCTCTGTCCCTTTTCTTCTAGAAATGTCTTCACATTCCTCTTTTCCATTGGTGTTGGAAGTTCAATGGCACATTTGAAAGTACAGAGTCATTAGAAGATGTGGTTTAAAAGGAAGTGGCACTGAAATTGTTTTTAAGCAACTGTCATGGAAATCCCAAAGCTGTCTTTAAAAAAAAATAGAGTAGTGAGGACTTGCTTTAAGCTTCTTCCATTATCACCAGGCTCAGCCTCTATCTATTTTTGAATTTTAGGAACCGACAATTTGTGAGAATTGAAAAATAGGAACCAGAAAGATTTCTATTAGATATAGCTTTCTAGGGTATATCATTATTTGGAACTCTCTAGAGACAATTTTCACTCCAGGTGAAGACTCAGTGGCCTTAGGTCCCTTCTGGCCCCAGGGTCTTCACCCTCCATTGCTCTTTCAATCCCACCTTATTCCAACCCATCTCTATCCAGCCAGCTTGGGTTTGAGGTGGAGAAGGGATGAAGAAAACTGGACAGGAAGAAAAGATGGTAAATGAGGAGAGGATAGATGAGACATGTGTGGGGGGGTGCATGAGTGTGGGTGTGGGTATGCTTATGAGAGTTTCTAAAGCGGCACTGTCTAATAGAACTTTCTGCAGTGCTGGAAGTGTTCTAGATTTGTGTTTCCAATAGGGAAGGCACCAGCCCTTGTGGTTATTGACTACTCAAAATGTGTAACGGAAGAAGTTCATTTTAAATTTTATCTAATTTGAATTTAAATTTAGATAGTGGTATACAGCTAAAAACTATCATATTGGACAGCACAGTTCTAAAGAATATTCTATTTATCCCAAATTGGGGAGGAGGCAGAATAAAATTAATGGAAAGAGGCCAGATGCAGTAGCTTACGCCTGTAATCTCAGCACTTTGGGAGCCCAAGGTGGGTGGATCACTTGAGATCAGGAGTTCGAGACCAGCCTGGCTAACATGGTGAAACTCCATCTCTACTAAACACACAAAATTAGCTGGGTGTGGTGGTGCACACCTGTAGTCCCAGCTACTCTGGAGGCTGAGGCAGGAGAGTCGCTTGAACCAGGGAGGTGGAGGCTTCAGTGAACTGAGATTGCACCACTGCACTCCAGCCTGGGCAACAGAGTGAGAGTCAGTCTCAAATAATAATAATAATAATAAAATAATGGAAAGAGACAGAGAAGTGCTTCTTCTCAATCTTTCAAACCTCAAACCGCAGACCCTGGTTCCATAACATGAAAAGCAGAATACAGTCATGGGTTTGCAAAAATTTCAAAGGGGTAGAAATGACAAGAAGAAAAATGAAAATGTTATGTAAAATAAGTCAAGTGGATAAAGTTGATTGCAGGTTGGAAAGCAATCCCATCATATATTCAAGTCTTTCTTCCAAGGTTCAGACATCATCTTCACCAAGTTCAGATTCAGGGAACTGGGGAGGATCAGTAACTGTACTCTTGCTGCCTCAGGGCTACATTGCATCCAGGGTGCTCTCCCGAGGAGCCTGCTTTATCCTGAAGATGGACCTTCAGAACACCCCTCCTCTGAACAATCTTCAACGATACAGCTATGAGAAACAGGTAACTCTGGGGCACTCTTGAGTATTCTCTATTCTTAAGCCAGGCAATACTGGTATTTATGGAGAAATGAAGAGAGTGAGGGAGAAGATCATACTATCATGCCTTACCATAAATATGATACTCAACTTATTAAAGTTATTAAAGTGTTTTAACTTTTATTTTATTATTTTTTAAGAGCAGGAGCAAATCTCAGCTTGATTTCCACTACATAGCCCTAAATACAAGAACTTATAATAAATTCCAGTGACATAGCAAGGACTGATCAGCTTATCTTCTCAGAGCAGGGCTATGAGAAATGATGATTGGAAGAATAATAAGAGGAGTTCTAATATTCAATGACACAAAGATGCAAAGAAATAATACAGTATAGTGAACATATACAAACACTGCACTTCAGCTAGAGACCCAAGGTTTAAGTCTCCCTCCACAACTTCTTATAGGTGCCACCTTTGACATGGGACTTACCTTCTTTGGGCTTCATTGCCATCAGAGGTAAAATAACACTGGTAATTACTAATGAGGCTACTTCACTGACAGAGTGCTCAAAAAGAGATGACGCCTTGAGATCCCTAACTGCTTTCTGTTTAATAATCTGAAACAGAAAAATCATCACAATTTAGAATAAGGTACACCAATTTTGGTCAATTTATTTTATGTTGTTTTCTGTTATACCGATCTAGGCTCTGGACAACATATTCTCCAACAAATATACCTGGGTCAAGTACAACCCTCTGGAGTCTCTGATCAAAGACATCGATTGGTTCCTGCTTGGGTCACCCATTGAGAAACTCTGCAAACATATCCCCTTGTATAAAGGGGAAGTGGTTGAAAACACACGTGAGTACCAATAAATCATTCATTCACCAAATATTTTCTGAAAGCTACTATGTGCCAGGTGCTCTGCTGAGTGCCATGTGAAATGCAAATAAATGGAAACAGTACTCAGTTCAGTTTGTTTTGGGAATTCATTACATGCCATGTGTATAAATTGTGCTAAATGTTAGGAATACAGAAATGAATTAAACTGTCTCCAAGGAACATATAATCTAGTGAAGAAGCTGACAAGTGAAAAGAGAGGATGGAATAAAGGATTCCTGGGTGCCAATGAAAAACTACTCGATTCTTGTTTACTTTCATATGTAAGAATTTCAAGTAGTAAAAAGTCTTCTGGGCCCTTAGAATAGCATCTTTTGGAAGATAATAAGAAGGAAGTCACTAAGAAATGCTCTCAGCATCTAGAATAGAATTGGTGCAGGAAAGAGGAGGCAAAGTGAACTTACAGACAGGGAGTAAAAACCCTGATTCATCTGGGTAACATATGCCACTGCAGATATTACTGTCATTTTTATACAAAGTTTCTAAACATGGCAGAGCAGCCAGAGTGAAAGAGGTCGGGCCAGCTGATGATGAACACAACAAAGGAAATTTCTCAGAGTAGTGGAAGGTAGATAAAGAAGAGTTCATGTTTATTATACATCTACTGCCCAGAAAAAAATTTTAAGTGCTCATTCATAAAGCAAATAAAGGCACACAGGTATGCCATTGATACAGAATGGCATAATATCACTGGGATTGAGCCAACCAGCACTTCCAAAAGTTGTCGGTTTTATTTAAGCAAATATGTTATTATTCTAATAATTCCAATAATATATTTTTTAATGCTCTTTCTTTGAAAAATTTCCCCTTTTCCAGATAATGTTGGTGCTGGAGACTGTGCAAAGGCTGGGTTCCTGGGCATCTTGGGAATTTCAATCTGCGCAGACACTCATGTTTAGGATGATCAGCCCTCTTGTTTTATCTTTTCAAAGAAATACATACTTGGTTTACACTCAAAAGTCAAATTAAATTCTTTCCCAATGCCCCAACTAATTTTGAGATTCAGTCAGAAAACATAAATGCTGTATTTACAGATTTTTTTGGTGTTTGTTGCTTTTTGAAAGCAGCAAAGGGAATACAAGCAATGTCTATGTCACTATACAGAAGAAATAAAATTGCCAGAATTTTAAATAAGGTGCATAATGTGTGAAAATTCCCAGATAACACCACTGGGTCACATGCGGACTAGTCAGCTGGGGTCGAACTTCCATTTCTGCATCTGCCGTCTGGACCAGCTTCCCATCTAACCATCCAAATATATGGGGGCAACTGGGTAGAGCAGAGGCTCACATAGTGGTGGCATTGACCTGGCCAGGGGAGGGACATGGCATACCCTTATCAAACAACTTGAATGCTCAGGTGAAGGCTTTTAGGGCCATTCATATGAGTTAAAATGTCTTTTAACTCACCAAAGCAGTAGACTCAACCTGAATAAACATTATTATAATATGTGTTGTCCTGGAGTGAGAAAGGAGAAAGGGAGAGAGGAAGGAGCACCTAACACCCAGGAAAAGATGCACCATACTGAAGATCGTAACGGGAGTGAAAACGTAACTAGAAAAGCCAAGTCAATATATAGCAGAAAAGCAAGTTCCGATGTTTCAAATAAATTGCACATTGTGTACAAATTTCAGATCGTGAAACTGGGTCACACATGAACGGTCGGCTGAATGCAAATTCAGAGCAAAGAGGAATTACTTTAACAACAATTTATTCTCTTGCGGCAGACCTCTGGGATTCTAGCTGCAGAGACCCCCGGCCTTTGCGTTTGAGCTGACATGGGACTCTCACTAGAGATTAGATGGAGAAAGGGCTTCAGCAGGCACGGAGCTGGAGACTTTGTCTGTGAGACAGCTCTGCGGGAGCACTCATCCCCCAGGGCTCCTTGTCTCCCTCTGAGAGGCTCTGGCCCCATATAACCACCAGAATGGGAGAAGAAGGGCTTCCCCGTGGGATTAGGGCATATCCGTCCCGCAGGCCCACCTGCCTGCCAGTCCCTCCCAGGATTCCTGCCCGGCCACTCCACAGGAGTGTGTACACAGTGCAGCCTCAGCTGCTCATCCCGGGTGCTTTGCTCCACTTGAGTGCATTCCGGCAGCCTGGGAGCTGTTTGGATCCCCCCAGTGCACACAGATCCCAGGGTCCAAGGGAGGGAGCTGTGAGCAGGTCCGTCCTTTCCAGGGCTACGGTCTATGGCTCCGATGTGCGGAGTGCGGAACTGGGCCCGGTGCTTCATCAGAAGAGGAGCCCAAACTCTCAGAAAACTCTCAGAGAGGGGTGAGCCGCACAGGTTCGTGGGCTGGTGTGGAACCTAGGCGTGCCTCCCTCTGCAGAGCTGGTCCAGTAAGGGTGGGGCCTGTCTCCCTGCTGGACCTCTGCTTGAAGGAGCCCCACGACCTGGAACACCTAACAACAACAAAAAGCCGCGGCCACAGTGCCAGTGATCAGGGGTCCTTCCCCCCAAAACCCAGGAGGGGACCTGGTGAGGGGTTACCCCTCTCATCCTTGCACCACAGAGCACGGCCTCAGAGGCCTGGATACACAAACGAGCCAGGTGGCAGAATGAGAGCCCAGCTACCGCCCATTGCTCTCAGGCGCCGTCTACTGGATTTCAGCCCAAACTACAACACGAAAAACTGCTAATTTTCCTTCCTGCCAGGCTGAGGACTAGAATTCAACAGACTGTTTAGAGCCTTAGCCCTCTGAAAACTTCCAGAAATGAAGCCACTGACTATATTCAGTTTACACCAAAGTTAAAGGAATACCAACCCTCCCAGATGAGAAAGAATCAGTGCAAGAACTGTAGCAATTAAAACCAGAGTGTCCCCTTACTTCCAAATGAGCGCACTAGCTCCGCAGCAATTGTTCTTAACCAATCTGAAATGACGGGCATGGAATTCAGAATCTGAATAGCAATGAAGCTTATAAATATCCAGGAGAAAACTGAAATCCAATCCAAGGAAACCAAGCAATCCAGTGAAATGGTTTAAGAGCTGAAAGATGAAATAGCAATTTTACAAAAGACCCAACCTGAGCTTGTTGAGTTGAAAAAAGAATTTCATAATACAATCAGAAGTATTAACAGCAGAATAGACCAAGCTGAGGAAAGAATCTCAGAGCTCGAAGCCTGGTTCTTTGAATCAACTTAGACAAAAATAAAGAAAAAAGAGCTTTAAGAAATGAACACAATCTCCCAGAAATAAGCGATTATGTAAAGAGACCAAATTCATGACTCATTATCATCCCTGAGAGGGAAGGAGAGAGAATAAGCAACTTGGAAAATATATTTGAGGACATAGCCCACAAAAATTTTCCTAATCTCTCTAGAGAGGTTGACATGTAAATTCAAGAAATACAGAAGACCTTGGTCAGATAATATACAAGATGACCATCCCCAAGGCACATAGTCATCAGATTCACCATGGTCAATGCAAAAGAAAAAAATCTTAAAGACAGCTAGGGAGAAGGGTCAAGTCACATGCAGAAGGACTCTCATTAGGCTGGCAGTGGACGTCTCAGCAGAAACCTGACAAGCCAGAAGAGATGCAGGTGTTGGGTGGGGGGGTTGTCTATTTTTGTCATCCTTAAAGAAATTCCAACCAAGAATCTCATACACTGCCAAACTAAGCTTCATAAGTGAAGGAGAAATAAAACCCTTCTCAGACAAGCAAATGCTGAAGGAATTAGTTTCAACTAGACCAGCCTAACAAGAGGTCCTAAGGGAGTGCTGAATATGGACTCAAAAGAATAACACCTGCCACCACAAATACTCACTTAAGCACATAGCCCACAAACACTATAGGCAATTACACAGTAAGTCTACATAACAACACAATGACAGGTTCAAAATCTCACACATCAATACTAACCCCAAGTGTAAAGGGGCTAAATGCCCCACTTAAAAGTCACAGAGTGTCAAGCTTGATAAAAAGACAAGACCCAACCATCCACTATTTTCAAGAGCTCTATGTTACATGTAATGACACCCACAGACTCAAAGTAAAGAGTTGGAGAAAGATTTATCATGCAAATAGAAAACAAAAAAGAGCAGAATTCACTAGTTTTATATCAGATAAAACAGACTTTAAACCCTTAATAATTAAGAAGGACAAAGAAGGGTATTGCCTGGACCACAGTAGGCTTATTGGAAAAAAGGAAGGGTATTACATAATGACAAAGGGTACAATCCAACAAAAAGTTTTAACTATTCTAAATATATACACACCCAACATTGGAGCACCCAGATTTATAAAACAAGTTCTTCTTGATCTACAACAAGACTTAGACAGTCACACAACAATAGTGGGAGACTTTCACATCCTACTTACAGATCATTGAGACAGAAAACTAACAAAGGAACTTTGGACTTAAACTTGATACTTGACCAATTGGACCTAATAGATATCCACAGAAAACTTTACCCAACAAAGACAGAATATACATTCTTCTTATTTGCACATGGAACACATTCCAAGATCAACCACATGCTAGGTAGGCAAGAAAGTCTCAATAAATTCAAAAAAATTGAAATCATACGAACCTTAATATCAGACCACAGTGCAATTAAAAAGAAATCGATATCAAGAAGATCTTTCAAAACTACATAAATACGTGAAAATTAAACAACTTGCTCCTGAATAACTCTTGCGTGAACATCAAAATTCAGGAGGAAATAAACAATTCTTTGAAATTACTAAAAATGGAGATATACCTTACCAAAATCTCTGGGGTACAGCTAAAGCATTGTTAAGAGGAAAGTTTATAGCACTAAATGCCTTAATAAAGAAGTTAGGAAGATCTCAAATTAACAATCTAACCTTGCACCTAAAAGAACTAGACAGAAAAGAACAAACCAACCCCAAAGCTAGTAGAAGAAAAGAAGTCACTAAAGTTAGAGAAGAATGGAATGAAATTGAGATGCAAAATCCATACAAAAGATCAAATGAAACCAATAGTTGTTTCTTTGAAAGAATAAATACAATTCATAGACCCACCTAGCTAGATGAATAAAAAAGAAAGAAGATCCAAATAAACACAATCAGAAATGACAAAGGTGGTGTTACAATTGATCCACAGAAATACTTATCCTCAGAGACTACTATGAACATACACAAATTAGAAAATATAGAGGAAATGGATAAATTCCTGAAAACACAAAATCTCCCAAGATTGAATAGATGTGAAAATCCTTAACAAAATATTAACAAGCCAAATCCAGCAGCACCTCAAAAAGTTAATGTATCATGATCAAGTAGGCTTCATTCCAGGAATGCAAGCCTGGCTCAACATAGGCAAATCAATACATATGATTCACCACATAAACAGAATTGAAAGCAAAACCTACATAGTCATCTCAATAGAGGCAGAAAAAGCTATCGATAAAAATTCAACATCTATAAAGGGACCATACCTCAAAATAATAAGAACCATCTATGACAAATCCATATCCAGCATCATACTGAATGGGCAAAAGCTTGAGCCATTCCTCTTAAGAACAGGAACAAGGCAAGGATACCTACTCTCACCACTCCTATTCAAGGTAGTACTCTAAGTACTAGTCAGAGAAATTAGGCAAGAGAAAGAAATAAAAGGCATCCAAATAGGAAAAGAAGTCAAACTATCTCTCTTTGCTGATGATACATTTGTATACCAAGAAAATCCTAAAGACTCTGTCAAAAGACTCCTAAAACTGATGAATAATTTCAGTAAAGTTTCAGGACACAAAATAAATGTACAAAAATTAGTAGCATTTCTATACACCAACAGTGTCCAGGCTGAGAGTAAAATCAAGAACACAAACTCTCTTAAATAGCCACAAACAAAATGATATATCTAGGAATACAGTTTTCACTAAGGAGGAGAAAGATCTGTACAAGGCTTAAAGAAATCATAGGTGACACAAAAAAATGGAAAAAAATCCATGACCATGGATTAGAAAAATTAATATTGTTAAAATGGCCATACTGCCCAAAGCAATATACAGATTCATTGCTACTCTTATAAAACTGCCAATGCCATTCTTCATAGAATTAGAA